CAATAAACAAGCACCAAAAACAATGGATGAACGCGCGGAATATTCTTAACCCAATGAGAGAGAGAGAGATGCGCAGACTGAGTGTGATACGCATGAGGAAGCACATCGCTGGCTGGTGGACACGTCTCATACCCATGATTTCTGAGCGGATGGCTGAAATCCAGGGGGGAAATTTCACTGAAAAAAAGTGCTTGATTTCCGAATTGGCCGATTTCCGCACCAGCCAATATCCGAGGGTCCACTATTCAGGCTTATCTAACTTCATCCTACTGAGCTATCCATGCTTATCCAGCTCTGTCCTATTAAGATATCCAGTTTTATCCAACTCTATCCTACTGAGATATCCAGGTTTATCCAGCTCTATCCTACTTAAGACATATCCACTACTGAGATATCCAGGCCTATCCAGCCCTATGCTACTGTGATATCCCAGCCTATCCAGCTCTATTCTGAGATATCCAGGCCTATCCTAAGATCTTTTTGTTACTTATGAGGTAGACTTATCCAGCTTTATCCTTGGTAGGATAATTCTGAGGGACAGATTACCTTATCTCCTGCTGTCTTCAGTCTCAAAACCTCTGTATTGAACTGCTAAAGCTGGTTTTTGGTAGATAGACAGTTGTTGCACATGTTTAATATTAATAGACAGGTGTTGCACATTTTTTTTTTTTCAACAAGTCGGCCGTCTCCCACCAAGGCAGGGTGACCCAAAAAAGAAAGAAAATCCCCAAAAAGAAAATGCTTTCATCATCATTCAACACTTTCACCACACTCACACATTATCACTGTTTTTGCAGAGGTGCTCAGAATACAACAGTTTAGAAGCATATACGTATAAAGATACGCAACATATCCCTCCAAACTGCCAATATCCCAAACCCCTCCTTTAAAGTGCAGGCATTGTACTTCCCATTTCCAGGACTCAAGTCCGACTATATGAAAACCGGTTTCCCTGAATCCCTTCACTAAATATTACCCTGCTCACACTCCAACAGATTGTCAGGTCCCAAGTATCATTCGTCTCCATTCACTCCTATCTAACACGCTTGCTGGAAGTCCAAGCCCCTCGCCCACAAAACCTCCTTTACCCCCTCTCTCCAACCCTTTCGAGGACGACCCCTACCCCTCCTTCCTTCCCCTATAGATTTATATGCTTTCCATGTCATTCTACTTTCATCCATTCTCTCTAAATGACCAAACCACCTCAACAACCCCTCTTCTGCCCTCTGACTAATGCTTTTATTAACTCCACACCTTCTCCTAATTTCCACACTCCGAATTTTCTGCATAATATTTACACCACACATTGCCCTTAGACAGGACATCTCCACTGCCTCCAGCCATCTCCTCGCTGCTGCATTTACCACCCAAGCTTCACATCCATATAAGAGTGTTGGTACCACTATACTTTCATATATTCCCTTCTTTGCCTCCAAAGATAGGGTTTTTTGACTCCACATATACCTCAACGCACCACTCACCTTTTTTCCCTCATCAATTCTATGATTAACCTCATCCTTCATAAATCCATCCGCCGACACGTCAACTCCCAAGTATCTGAAAACATTCACTTCTTCCATACTCCTCCTCCCCAATTTGATATCCAATTTTTCTTTATCTAAATCATTTGATACCCTCATCACCTTACTCTTTTCTATGTTCACTTTCAACTTTCTACCTTTACACACATTCCCAAACTCATCCACTAACCTTTGCAATTTTTCTTTAGAATCTCCCATAAGCACAGTATCATCAGCAAAAAGTAACTGTGTCAATTCCCATTTTGAATTTGATTCCCAATAATTTAATCCCACCCCTCTCCCGAACACCCTAGCATTTACTTCTTTTACAACCCCATCTATAAATATATTAAACAACCATGGTGACATTACACATCCCTGTCTAAGACCTACTTTTACTGGGAAGTAGTCTCCCTCTCTTCTACACACCCTAACCTGAGCCTCAACATCCTCATAAAAGCTCTTTACAGCATTTAGTAACTTACCACCTATTCCATATACTTGCAACATCTGCCACATTGCTCCTCTATCCACTCTATCATATGCCTTTTCTAAATCCATAAATGCAATAAAAACTTCCCTACCTTTATCTAAATACTGTTCACATATATGCTTCAATGTAAACACTTGATCTACACATCCCCTACCCACTCTGAAGCCTCCTTGCTCATCCGCAATCCTACATTCTGTCTTACCTCTAATTCTTTCAATTATAACCCTACCGTATACTTTTCCTGGTATACTCAGTAAACTTATTCCTCTATAATTTTTACAATCTCTTTTGTCCCCTTTCCCTTTATATAAAGGGACTATACATGCTCTCCGCCAATCCCTAGGTACCTTCCCCTCTTTCATACATTTATTAAACAAAAGTACCAACCACTCCAACACTATATCCCCCCCTGCTTTTAACATTTCTGTCATCCCATCAGTTCCAGCTGCTTTACCCCCTTTCATTCTACGTAATGCCTCACGTACCTCCACCACACTTACATTCTGCTCTTCTTCACTCCTAAAAGATGGTATACCTCCCTGACCAGTACATGAAATTACCGCCTCCCTTTCTTCCTCAACATTTAAAAGTTCCTCAAAATATTCTCGCCATCTTCCTAATACCTCCATCTCCCCATCTACTAACTCTCCTACTCTGTTTTTAACGGACAAATCCATACTTTCCCTAGGCTTTCTTAACTTGTTTAACTCACTCCAAATTTTTTTCTTATTTTCATTAAAATTTCTTGACAGTGCCTCTCCCACTCTATCATCTGCTCTCCTTTTGCACTCTCTCACCACTCTCTTCACCTTTCTTTTACTCTCCATATACTCTGCTCTTCTTATAACACTTCTGCTTTGTAAAAACCTCTCATGTCTAATATTAATAGACAGGTGTTGCACATATCTAGTATTAATGGACAGATGTTGCACATGTTTAGTATTAATAGATGTTGCACATGTCTAGTATTAATAGACAGGTGTTGCACATATCTAGTATTAATGGACAGATGTTGGCCATGTCTAGTATTAATAGACAGGTGTTGCACATATCTAGTATTAATGGACAGATGTTGCACATGTCTAGTATTAATAGACAGGTGTTGCACATATCTAGTATTAATGGACAGATGTTGCACATGTCTAGTATTAATAGACAGGTGTTGCATATGTCTAATAAATCGTCTTGTTGCTTATGGCTATCATTATTTTACTTATTTATGTTATAATATTACACTTATATTATTTTACACTTTTATGTTATATTTATGTTATGTTACACTTTTTGTGTGAAGATTTAATGTTAGACTTAAGAACATCACACAAAGGCCCTTCGTACACTTATGTATGAGTCAGGACATTTATTAAGCTATTGCAAAGGCCCTTAATACACTTACATATAATTTAGGACAATAAACTTTTTGCCCCTTGTGTATAAGGCTGAGAAGGTCAATACAGTGGTGCCCCGAGTTTCGTGCAGCTCCAAACTCAAACAGTTTTGTAAGTGTATTTTTGGGGGTCGGAAACGGACCAATCTAATTTACATTATTATGGGAACAAATTCGTGCAGTAACGGCACTCGAACAGCCTTCTGGAATGAATTACGGCCGAAACTTGGGGTACCACAACTTTCCTTCGAATTTCTCATAAGTTCTGTACTCGTTGATTTGTGTTTTTGAGGGTTGAGGTTTAGCTCCTGGCCCTGCTGCCTAGACCACTTTGATGGTTATCACTGACTTTTGGGGTCTTGTTATACCTACTCTTGAAGCTATGTATTGGGTTTATCTCCTAAAGTCAGTACCTGACCAGCCAGGCTGTGGTTCTTACATTGGACTACATACAGCCAACAGTAACAGCCTGGTTGATCAGGCCCTGATCCACCACAAGGCCTGGTTATGCACAGGGCCACAGGGGCATTGACCCCCAGAACACCCACCAGGTATACTCCAGATAAACTGGACCATGGGGTCATTGAACCAGGCCACGGGGTTGTTGAACCGGGCCGTGGGATTGTTGAATCAGGCCATGGGGTTGTTGAACTGGGCCGTGGGATTGTTGAACCAGGCCACGGGGTTGTTGAACTGGGCCACGGGGTTGTTGAACCAGGCCACGGGGTTGTTGAACTGGGCCATGGGGTTGTTGAATCAGGCCATGGGGTTGTTGAACCAGGCCACGGGGTTGTTGAACTGGGCTGTGGGATTGTTGAACCAGGCCATGGGGTTGTTGAACTGGGCCACGGGGTTGTTGAACCAGGCCACGGGGTTGTTGAACCAGGCCACGGGGTTGTTGAACTGGGCCATGGGGTTGTTGAACTGAGCCACGGGGTTGTTGAACCAGGCCACGGGGTTGTTGATCCAGGCCATGGGGTTGTTGAACTGGGCCACGGGGTTGTTGAACTGGGCCACGGGGTTGTTGAACTGGGCCGTGGGATTGTTGAACTGGGCCACGGGGTTGTTGAACTGGGCCATGGGGTTGTTAAACTGGGCCGTGGGATTGTTGAACCAGGCCACGGGGTTGTTGAACTGGGCCACGGGGTTGTTGAACTGGGCCGTGGGATTGTTGAACTGGGCCGTGGGATTGTTGAACTGGGCCACGGGGTTGAACTGGGCCATGGGGTTGTTGAACTGGGCCACGGGGTTGTTGAACTGGGCCGTGGGATTGTTGAACTGGGCCATGGGGTTGTTGAACTGGGCCACGGGGTTGTTGAACTGGGCCATGGGGTTGTTGAACTGGGCCGTGGGATTGTTGAACTGGGCCGTGGGATTGTTGAACTGGGCTGTGGGATTGTTGAACTGGGCCACTGGGTTGTTGAACCAGGCCATGGGGTTGTTGAACTGGGCCATGGGGTTGTTGAACTGGGCTGTGGGATTGTTGAACTGGGCCACGGGGTTGTTGAACTGGGCCACGGGGTTGTTGAACTGAGCCACGGGGTTGTTGAACTGGGCCACGGGGTTGTTGAACTGGGCCATGGGATTGTTGAACTGGGACATGGGGTTGTTGTACCAGGCTGAGGAAGCATTGACCCAAAAACCCTCCAGGTATGCTCCAGGTATAGGTATACCACTGCCTCATGCAAGGGAACTCTTGGGTCTAGTCATACCTACTCTTCAAGCTGTATATTAAGTTTACCTAAATTCTGCTGGTAACAAGACAAACTGCCATTCACCACACCTCTTTATTCCCCTATATTTCTGTATCATGTGACTTATTACTGTAGTGTATTGACACCCTTTATTACCTCTATTCTAAGATTGTGTTTTATTTCCAGGTGTGGGTGGTGAGGCAGGTGATGGTGGTGACAGCAGAGATGACGGCGAGGTTTCTATTAGGTCAAACGGTGAGGAAATGCTTTGGATAATTTCTTTTGCATCAGTGGGTGTGTCTGTGTTACTGCTACTGCTGCTTTGGTTCAGTAAAAGAAGTTAACCCTTTGACTGTCGCGGCCGTATATATACGTCTTACAAGGTACCGTGTTTGACGTATATATACTCATAAATTCTAGCGGCTTCAAATCAAGCAGGAGAAAGCTGGTAGGCCCACATGTGAGAGAATGGGTCTATGTGGTCAGTGTGCACCATATAAAAAAAATCCTGGAGCACGCAGTGCATAATGAGAAAAAAAAACTCCAACCGTTTTTTTTAATTAAAATGCCGAATTTGTGGTCTATTTTCATATAGTATTTATGGTTGTATTCTCGTTTTCTTGGTCTTGTTTGATAGAATGGAAAACATATTATAGAAATAGAGGTGATTTTGATTGATTTTGCTATAAAAAGAACCTGGAAATGGAGCTCAAAGTAGGGGAAATGTTTGATTTTTGCCGATGTTCAAAAGTAAACAAATGATGTCATTGTCCAATAAATGTCCAACTAGCCATTCTAATATGCAGTCATGAATGGGTTGATGTTATTTATACAATAATTACAGTATTGCTGTAGTTTGCATAATAGTAAGTCTTCTATTTTTTGTTTGAATAAAAATTCAAAATAGAAAGCAAGAGTAATATCAGAGGGGCCTGGAGACGTGACTGATGAACAAAGAAAATGTTATTTTAGAGCCAGGAATGTCTGCATTGTTCATTCTGGACCTTATTTTGAAATTGTCATATTTTTTAATTTTCATGAAATTGGCCAAATTGCAAATTTCTGACCACGTTATTGGGTAGTTGAAATCGGTAAATGGGCAGTTTCTTGTACTCAATCGATAGAAAAAATGGAGTTCTAAAGAAATAGCTATGAGTTTGGTCGACTGGAACAACGGAATTAGCCGAAAATAGGGCTCAAAGTGGGCGAAATCGCCGATTTGTAAATATCGCCGAGGTCGCTAACTTCGCGAGACCGTAATTCTGTCAGTTTTTCATCAAATTTCGTTTTTTTGGTGTCATTACAATTGGGAAAAGATGCTCTATTATTTCAAAAGAAAAAATAATTTTTTTTTTTAAATTTTGCGACACCCGGAGACACCTCAGGATTGGGGGTTGCAACAGTCAAGAGGTTAATTGGTGTAAAACTACAGTGGTACCTCAGGTTTCGTACAGCTCCCAACTTGAACAGTTATGTAAGTGTATTTTTGGGGGTCTGACATGGACTAATCTAATTTACATTGTTCCTTATGGGAACAAATTCATTCTGTAACAGCACTCGAACAGCCTTCTGGAATGAATTATGGCCGAAACTCGGGGTACCACTGTATGTATTTTAATTCTTATAAAACTGCATCTGTGGGTAGTAGGTTGATAGCAGTCGCCCAGGAAGGTACTGCCATCCTGCCAAGTGAGTGTAAAACAGAAGCCTGTAATTGTTTTATGTGATAGTAGGATTGCTGATGTCTCTTTTCTGTCTCATAAACATGCAAGATTTCAGGTACGTCTTGCTACTTCTACTTACACTTAGGTCACTCTACACATACATGTATAAGCATATACAGTGGACCCCCGCATAACGATTACCTCCGAATGTGACCAATTATGTAAGTGTATTTATGTAAGTGCGTTTGTACGTGTATGTTTGGGGGTCTGAAATGGACTAATCTACTTCACAATATTTCTTATGGGAACAAATTCGGTCAGTACTGGCACCTGAACATACTTCTGGAGTGAAAAAATATCGTTAACCGGGGGTCCACTGTATATACACACCCCTCTGGGTTTTCTTCTATTTTCTTACTAGATCTTGTTCTTGTTTATTTCCTCTTATCTCCATGGGGAAGTGGAACAGAATTCTTCCTCCGTAAGCCATGCGTGTTGTAAGAGGCGACTAAAATGCCAGAAGCAAGGGGCTAGTAACTACTCCTGTATACATTACTGAAGTTAAAAAGTGAAACTTTTGGTTTTCTTTTTGGGCCACCCTGTTTTGGTGGGATATGGCCAGTTTATTGAAAGAAAACAAGAAGAAAACTGCGACTACAATATAGCTTTTAAGAGATTGTCTGCTTGTTTGTTTTTGTTTGTAGTTAAGTAATACCTTTGTAAACATGTTTATTTTTACAGTAAGATCACAGTAAACAAATGGTATCGTAATATGCAAAATAGCCACTGTGAAAAAATAATGAAATTCCAAGGGCTTTCATGATTTCTCACTTTATCAAGGACCTGCAATAATTACAGAACAGCAGAAGGTTATATAAGGCTGAGATATCACCTCACAGTCAAGTCCGACATTACACTTGTCCCATTATGATGCAGGCGAGATGGTCAGGAACTTGTCAAACATTGATTAAATTCTTCCCAAATTTCTCTAATAATACATGAATCTAATTTGTATAATCTTAAATCGGTTTACCTGGAGTTTACCTGGAGAGAGTTCCGGGGGTCAACGCCCCTGCGGCCTGGTCTGTGACCAGTATTCGTATTAAAATCAAAACTATTTTTTTAGGAAGTTTGATTCAGTTATATTTAAGTCATGGACCTCCTTGATGCAACTTTATCGGCCTTTTAAAAATCAATTGGATGGTTATAATCTCTCACATGAATAAACAGAGCATTAGACTTATCTAGTTCTAATGCTACATTTATGTTACTGTAATCTTAGTTCAAGGCTTATCCCAGTTTGGCCATAGTAAACTTTGTTACATTCTTTACAAGGAATCTTGTAGATACAGCCATCAGTATTTTGGGGGGAATTTTTAATTAGTTTTTTTACTGTATCAAGATTTTTAAATACAACCATGATTTTAAAATTCTTAAGTAGAGAAGGTATGTTAAGAAATTTTCATGGTAAGGGGGAACCAGTCAAAAGTATTTATAGAATTTTTAAAGGATTTATCAGTTAAGTGTTTTGGGTATTTTAGATCATTAACTATTTCATAACTATTCAAGATTTTTGGGGGATATTAGCAGTTTGGAGGGATATGTTGTGTATCTTTATACATATATGCTTCTAAACTGTTGTGTTCTGAGCACCTCTGCAAAAACAGTGATAATGTGTGAGTGAGGTGAAAGTGTTGAATGATGATGAAAGTATTTTCTTTTTGGGGATTTTCTTTCTTTTTGGGTCGGCCTGCCTCGGTGGGAGACAGCCGACTTGTTGGAAAAAAAAAAAAATACTCCCACAATCCAACTTACAGCCTGCTCAACATACGACCACTCGACTTACGACCGTGTTTTATATGCCAAATTTCTGGGAAATAAATAACTGTTTGTGTTGTACAGTGTTTATCCTAAACATTTTGCAGTATAAAATATTAACAGCATAAAAAGTAAAGTAAAAAGTGAAATACCCAAACAAAACAATAAAATAAAATAATTACAAAATTGTGATGTTGATATTCAGTAGTAAAGTTCGACTTAACATCCATTTTGACTTACGACCGGTTGGTCGGAACCAAGTTTGTTCATAAGTCGGATGGTACCTGTACAAATATTTATTTCCTTGTTAAGCTTACAATGTGTGGTTTAGATGTTATAAGATTTAAATTACAAAGACGGCCACTACCGTGCCTAGGCACTTCGAGCAGACTAATACTAATTCTTACACTATGTTGATATAGGTCATATATGAGCAGTACATTTGAACATATTATTAAGTGCTTAATTAGATACATTCTCAGTTAGGTACATACATAATTAAGCTTAAAATAGTTAGGTAGTCAAATCATTTAATATTAGTACAAATGACAGATTTAGTAATGGGATTCGATTTGTCTTGGCATGATACATTGTTGCTATGAACTCTGGGCTGCAAATACGCAGAGTTCTCAAAAACATGGATGAGAATACAGACAGCTTAACTCTATTGTGTTGTGACGAATAATAGTGCATATAAGAACAGTTATTTGTTGGCTTTCCGTATATTTTAAATTTAAAATCATGGTTCCCCTTAATAATTAAAACATCTAAAAAGGCAATGAGTTATTTTGTTCAAACTCGACAGTAAAATTTATGGAATGAGCTAAATTATTTAATTCAACAAGGAAATCATTTATGTCTATATTCTTAGGCATTAGACACAAAATATCATTAACATATCTGTACCACTTAGCTCTATTGGGAAGGATTTTTTTACGCAATCTTTTTTCAAAATATTCCATGAATAAATTACTAAGGGCAGGTGAGAGAGGATTTCCCATTGCCATACCAAACTCCTGAGTGTAAAACTCACCATTAAACACCAACTTTGTGTCAAAGTACAAAATTTAATGAGCTCAATCAAAATAGTTACTAGCAATGGTAAATCGTTATTGACAAGTTCTTCAGATAGGAAACTTAATAAATCGTCAACTGGAACTTTTGTAAACAAGGAAGTGATGTCAAAGCTAACCATATTGTAATCTTTTAAATTTGTCATGATAATTTATCAACTAAATCTATTTTTTCTAAGATTAAAGTTATAAATTTGACGAACAATTCAGCTCAACAGATCTACTAGCCATACACAAATAACCCGCACATAAAAGAGAGAAGCTTACGACGACGTTTTGGTCCGACTTGGACCATTTACAAAGTCAGTGTGACTTTGTAAATGGTCCAAGTCGGACCGAAACGTCGTCGTAAGCTCTTTTATGTGCGGGTTATTTGTGTATCATTCCAGTCATGGTATTGACCCTTTTTTTGTTATCTACTAGTCAATTAGATAATTTATAGGAAACTGAACCTCTTGAGGTAATAATGGATCTGGTTGGATTACCTAGGTTATGTTTTTATTAATCCAAAGATGGATTGGTGGTTGTGATTCTTTAAATTAATTCTTCTTTGCCTTTCAGTACAGTGGTCCTCTGCTATTCATGGGGGATACATTCCAAGACCTATCATGGATACCTGTAACCGCAGATAGTAGCAAAACCTGTTTAAGTCATTTTTCGTTTACATACATACCTACGATAAAGCTTAATTGATGAATTTTGCAAAATAAGTGGAGAATTAACACTTTTTCACTGATGGGAAGCACTTCACAGCTTCTCTTAGCCTTTGAAGAACTGTCACCATTACCCTTGCCCTTTGGGATCATCATTAAGCAGAATTAACCCTTAAACTGTCCGAACATAGATCTACATTTGCTCGTGGAGTGCTCCGAACGTAGATCTACGTTTGCTCGTGTAGTGCTCCGAACGTAGATCTACGTTTGCTCGCATAGTGCTCCGAACGTAGATCTACGCATGCAAACGTAGATCTACGTTTGGGCAGTTAAGAGTTAAGGGCTAATTTCAGGCCATGGTAAACCATAGATAACTGAAACTGCAAGAACCGAATCCATGGATACGGAGGTTCTGCTGTAGTCGCTTTATTCAAGTTACTGTTAACTGAATCATACGGATTCTAAATTTGGGGTAAGTATCTTACCTAAAAGATTACTTGTTTTGCCCTGGTGATCAGTTTCTTTTAAACCTTTCAGGGTTTAGAGCCATGATCTGAAATGTGTCCACAGGGTCCAAGAATTTTCAAAAAGAAAATATTTTTTTTATGAAATGGTAAAGAATCTGAAGGTAATAAAACAATAACTATGAAATTTGATGGAAAGTTGACAAAAATTACATTTTTGTGAATTTTGCTGCATCAGTGATATTTATGCATTGGCAATTTTTGCCCACTTTGAGTCCTATTTTAGTCTAATTACATTGTTCCAGTTGACCAAATTATTAGCTTTTTCACCAATATGTCTTCCATTTTATCGACTGAGCACAAGAAATCGTCCAGTCAGCTATTTCAGCTACCCAGTAAAATGATCATTAATTGGTAATTTGGCTAATTTCACACAAATTTCAGATTACTCAAGTTTCAAAATAGGGTCCAAAATATACAATGCAGACATTCCTGACACTAAAATAAGAACATAAGAAAGGAGGATCACTGCAGCAGGCCTATTGGCCCATGCTCGGCAGGTCCTTTACAATTCATCCCACTAACGAAACATTTTCCCAACCCAATCCTCAATGCTCCCCAAGGAATAAGCTCTGATAACTCTATCCACTCATTTGCAAGTCCCACTCAAATCTAACCCCTCTCACTCATATATTTATCCAACCTAAATTTGAAATACCCAATGTCCTAGCCTAACATTTCCTCTGTTCATTAGTTATGTACCTAGTTATATACCTAGTTATGTGCCTTGCTATGTACCTAGGCTTTACACATGAATTCTTTTTCGGTTTTTTATTCACAAAAAAATAGAAGATTTACTCTTATGCAGTATTGTAGTAATTGTATAAATAATATCAATGCATTTGTGAATGCATACTAGACCCACCAGTTGATGTGTATTTAGAAGAGTGCGATGATTAATTTACTCTTGAATATTAGCAAAAATCAGACATTTTTGCTACTTTGAGCTCAATTTCAAGCTATTTTCAATTTCAAATCAAAATCATCTCTATTTCTGTAATATATCTTTCATTCTATCAGATGAGACCAAGAATAAAATAATAAACACCACACGAAAATACACTGCCAAGTCAGTGTTTTATACCAAAAACGCAGTCAGTTTTTTTTCCATGCACTGCATGCTGCCGTTTTTTTTTACATGCTTTACACTGACCACATAGACCCATTCTCTCATATCCAGGCCCAAATTTACTGCTCTCAGCTTATCTGAGTGAGCTGAGCTCATGATCTGGTACAGTGGCACTGACAGTGATCTCAAAGCCGTAGTACTTCAGCACAGTCAGCGAAAGTGTTAAGTTTGTCTGAAATGCTCTGTATAAGCATGAGCTTTCAACGTGTACTCTAGCGTCATCCATCTCTGTATAAGCATGAACTTTCAACACATACTCGAGTATTATCCATCTCCTTACTTAACAATGGAGCTCCGTTCCTAAGACCACATCATTAAACAAATTCGTCACTAAGTGAGGAGCATACTATAATGGTAGTGGGTTTGTGTCAACCATCTTTGATATTGTTTTAACCCTTTGACTGTCGCAAGCCCCTTTCTGAAACTGTCATTCTATGTCGCAAATTTTTTTGGAAAAAAAAAATAATTTTTTCTTATGAAATGATAGAGAATATTTTCCCGATGGTAATGACACCAAAAGTATGAAATTTGGTCGAAAACTCACGGAATTACACTCCGGCGATTTTGCCGATTTTGAGCCCTGTTTATGGCCAATTCTGTTGTTTCAGTTGACCAAACTCATAGCTATTTCTTTAGAACTCCATTTTTTCTATCAGTTGAGTACAAGAAACCGCCCATTTACCAATTTGAACTACCCAATAAAGTGGTCAGAAATTGGCAATTTGGCCAATTTCACACAAATTAAAAAAGATGCCAGTTTCAAAATAGGGTCCAGAATAAACAAGGTAGACATTCTTGGCACTAAAATAACATATCCTCTGTTCATTAGTCACATCTCTAGGCCCCTCTTATATTACTATTGCTTTCTATTTTGATTTTTTATTCATACAAAAAATACAAAATTTACTGTTATGCAGACTACTGCAGTATTGTAAAAATGGTATAAATAATATCAGTGCACTAGTGAAAGAATATTAGACTCCCCAGTTGACGTGTATTGGACGTGTGGTGTGATTTGCATACTCCTGAACATTGGTAAAAATCAAACATTTCCGCTACTTTGAGCTCAATTTCAAGTTCGTTTTCATTGTGAAACTAATCAAAATCATCTCTATTTCTGCAATATATTTTCCATTTTATCACTTGAGACCATGAAAATGAGAATACAACGATAAATACTATACAAAAATACACCTCAAAGTTGGCATTTTAATCCGAAAAAGCGGTCAGTATTTTTTTTCTCATTATGCACTGCGTGCTGCAGGATTTTTTTTATTATGTGGTGCACACTAACCACACAGACCCATTCTCTCACATGTGGGCCTACCAGCTTTCTCCTGCTTGATTTGAAGCCACTAGAATTATTGAGTATACATACGTCCGAAACAGTCAAAGGGTTAGTGTCACCTTTGCACCATTTATAACATTTCTGGTATATTTTTAAATGTTTATAGTGTACTGTATATTGAAATTAACAGAATAGAGGAAATCAGCTCTAATATACATAGGTATAAGTATTGGTCAGAGAGCCCATCATAAGTCCAAGGCATCGATAAACGAGTACATCACTAAGTGTACGCAGCTGGTTTGACTGGCAGTACGTACTTCAGTCATAGTGAGAAGGTAAGTACAATGGACCCCCACCTTAGGAACGCATCGCGTTACGTTAAATCCGCCATACGAAGCATTTGAATGCAAAAATTTTGCCTCGCCTCACGACAAAAAACTCACCTTACGTGATTCATCCTGGACACGTCCCACATGTGGCCTCAGCACCAGTGTTTACAAGCCAGCCAGTGCGGTCGCATCTACGCATTCATTCGGTACATTTCACATTATCCCAGTGTTTTTAGTGCTTGTAACTGCAAAATAAGTCACCATGGGCCCCAAGAAAGCTTCTAGTGCCATCCCTGTGGTAAAAAGGGCGAGAATTAGTATGGAATTAAAAAAAGAGATTAAGGAAATGTGTGCAAAGTGGGTTGAACTGCAAACCTTTACGGATGAAAATCACCCTGACACAGCTACTGCAAGCCGTGTTGGCAACCTGTACGATGACAATGTTATGGCATATTTTAGGAAAGTCTTAAAGGAATGGGAGGTACAGAGCTCTATGGACAGATTTGTTGTGCGACAGAGATCCAGTGACTTTCAAGCTGGTCCTAGTGGCATTAAAAGAAGGGAAGTAACCCCAGAAGAGGACTTGCTACCTCAAGTCCTAATGGAAGGGGATTCCCCTTCTAAACAATAACTTCCACACTCCCCTCCTCCCATCTCATCAATCATCACCAGATCTTCAATAAAGGTAAGTGTCATGTATTCTATTCTTAGTAGAGTAGTAATTGTGCATGTCTTCAGTTTGTGTGTATTAAAATTAATATTTCATGTGGTAAAATGTTTTTGTTTTTTTCATACTTCGGGGCATCAGGAACGGATTAATTTGATTTCCATTATTTCTTATGGGGAAAATTAATTTGGCTAATGATAATTTCGGCTTACGATGAGCTCTCAGGAACGGATTAATATCATAAGGCAGGGGTCCACTGTACTTCAGTTGTAGTGAGGTGGTAAGTACTTTTGTCTCAGTGAGATGGTAAGTACTGCTGTCTCAGTGAAATGGTAAGTACTTCTCTCCCAGTGAGGTGGTAAGTACGTCTGTTCTGGTGAGAAAGTAAATATGTACTGTTTCAGCCTGTATGAGGTCGTAAGTACTATGTCAGTCTCAATGAGGTAATATTAGGAGGTACTCAGGCTTTGTCTGAGAAAGAGAAATGTAGCTTTAATTTTGATATATATCAAACTACATTTGTGCAGGAATATTATAGCGTTGATATAAATGTTATATATCCACAGGATGAGAGAACGAGAGAAAGTGACAATGAAACCATGATATTCTCCATATTTGGTAGAGAATACAGGGAGAAAGCCCCATACACTTCTTCACATGAAAAACGTAGAGGAGGGGATAAGAATTCACAGATGGCACAATGTCTTCCTCCAGAACGTCGCCAGGTGCCAGATGTTGGCGCCACCAGTGTCTGGCACCAGTCGCACTGCCACCAGCAGCAACATGGTGACCGGGACACACAGGCGGGTGCAGCAAGTGACCACACAAGGGACTACAGGCCTAGCCATCAGTCACCACATGCACAAAGACAAGATCCAGTAAATCTTCCTCATTCTCCTGTAGCATCACCATTGAAAGAAAATAGATTGCGATATTTGAATAGATGTATTCCAGTAGATCCACACCTCACTTCTGCCTCTACATCACATGGCAAAGAGAGATGTCAGAGCTTGGAGAGACAAAATCCAACATTACGTACAGATTTTCCACACAGTGTTAGCCAGACATATAGACAACAAAGTGAAAATATTAAAAAACAACAAGAGACATACAGACATAGAAATTGGGACAAGAATCGGTACAGTAAAATGGAAATTCATGAGGAACTTGTAAAGACGTCTTCAGGACTCGTAGCGTTTTTAAAAGTAAACAGTGACGTGATAATGAAGAATGTGTGGAAGACAGCAAGGACTCCCACAAGGGAAATGTCTGAGAGCCCTGAAGTTGGAACGAGTCTTGAAAACAGCCCAGAGAGCCCTTGTACCAAAAGCACCACAGAGCTTGCATCACCAGACCACCCTGGGGATAGAGGTGTTCCTGTCTCACCCTCACATAATTTACTACCAAAAGAGCTACTTGAGAATGTTTTAAAGCTACATAACCCTGAAGATAAAAGCTCTGAACATATACAAAACAAGATGCGGGAGGATTTAGACACATGTAGAACATCTGTGTTTAATTCATCCTATCGGCATTATACACCACTGAAATACAAACTGCAGGAAAATAATATAGACATATGTGTAACATCTGCATCTAATTCATCATCTTATCAGCATTATACACTACTGAAACACAAGATGCAGGAGTTAGACAGCAAAGATGTGGGACACAAGAGGGCAGACATTACTGGGAGTTACCAAACAACTCCATCCAAAACACAGCAGTTAAAAACACCTGCAAATGAAAGCAACGGTCATTTCCAAGCAGTGACACCAGAATTAGTTGATTATGAAGAGGTTCCTTCACAAAAGTCAGGAGGCAAAAATTGTTCCACTAATGAGATTCCTTCACGAAAGATAGACAAAAATTGTCCCAATGAGATTTCTTCACAAAAGATAGACAAAAATTGTTCCAATAATGACGTTTGTTCACGAAAGACAGGGGACAAAAATTGCTCAGACATCGACACAAATGGACCACAACAAGAGCGATTCATCATTAAAGAAGCAATGATTCCTTTGCAGACCCAGTCTGTGATTGGTCCGGCAACAACAGACAGCGACACTTCCAAAGGAGACTCACATGCTGTCAAATGCAAAATATTGCCCCAAGCATCACATGTTGACAAAAAAATCAAATTTTCCCCAGCTGAACAAAGAATTGACGAAGGGATTTCAGCCTGTCCTCTGCCTACGCCTGAGGTTCCAGATGTAGGGGACAGGAGGAATCCAAACAGTGCTCTGGTCGTGGAAACAAACTGCATTCCTAGAGATTCAGAAAGTGTGAAATATGCACAGGAATCAACCGGGAGGGAATATCCTCGGATGGATTCAGAGAAGGAAGAACACATTGAAAAGCGTCCTCGAAAAACATCAGATGAGAAACATTGTTGTGAAACGTCGGGTGAAAAACATCAAGGAACACCGGGTGAGAGACATTCTCGAGGAACATCAGGTGAGGGATATTCTCGAGAAACATTGGGCAAGAAACATTTTCGAGAATCAGCAGGTGTAAAACATTCTCAAGAATCAGTAGAAGGAGCAAAACATTCTCAAGAATCAGCAGAGAGTGAGAAAGATCATAGGAAGTCATCACAACATTCACAAGAATTATCAAACAGAAAGAAAGATTATACAGAATCACCTCAACATTCTCAAGAATCATCAGAGACTGGGAAAGATCATAGAATATCATCACCGCCAAGAGACTCCATCACTGAAGACAACAAACGCAACTTAAGGTGTCAACATTACATGCGCGGCTGTTGTTATCAACGCGGGTGCACATCTCTTCACAGATTCCCGAAGGATGACAATGTTTTGTGCAAAGACTTCCTTAAGGGCATGTGTAGGAGAGGTTCAAGCAGGTGTTGGTACAAACATGCTTACACAGCTGCTAAGAGGGATGGTGTGAATTCCTGTAGAGGGGATGAGGCTACTATTGATTCTATTATATTAGCTATTAGAAATAGCAAAGTGCCTATTTATGAGTGTTCCAGCAGTATTGACAACAGTTTTGATCACTTTGAAAGTTTATATTTTTCAAGTTCTCCAACCAAGGTATCTAAATCTAAATCTAAATCTACCCTTCAAACTGAGGTATCTACAGTTACTGAACAAAATAAGCTCTCTCCATCTAAATCTACCCTTCAAACTGAGGTATCTACAGTTACTGAACAAAATAAGCTCTCTCCATCTAAATCTACCCTTCAGACTGAGGTATCTACAGTTACTGAACAAAATAAGCTCTCTCCATCTAAATCTACCCTTCAGACTGAGGTATCTACAGTTACTGAACAAAATAAGCTCTCTCCATCTAAATCTACCCTCAGACTGAGGTATCTACAGTTACTGAACAAAATAAGCTCTCTCCATCTAAATCTACCCTTCAAACTGAGGTATCTACAGTTACTGAACAAAATAAGCTCTCTCCATCTAAATCTACCCTTCAGACTGAGGTATCTACAGTTACTGAACAAAATAAGCTCTCTCATCTAAATCTACCCTTCAGACTGAGGTAATCTACAGTTACTGAACAAAATAAGCTCTCTCCATCTAAATCTACCTTCAAACTGAGGTATCTACAGTTACTGAACAAAATAAGCTCTCTCCATCTAAATCTACCCTTCAGACTGAGGTATCTACAGTTACTGAACAAAATAAGCTCTCTCCATCTAAATCTACCCTTCAAACTGAGGTATCTACAGTTACTGAACAAAATAAGCTCTCTCCATCTAAATCTACCCTTCAGACTGAGGTATCTACAGTTACTGAACAAAATAAGCTCTCTCCATCTAAATCTACCCTTCAGACTGAGGTATCTACAGTTACTGAACAAAATAAGCTCTCTCCATCTAAATCTACCCTTCAGACTGAGGTATCTACAGTTACTGAACAAAATAAGCTCTCTCCATCTAAATCTACCCTTCAGACTGAGGTATCTACAGTTACTGAACAAAATAAGCTCTCTCCATCTAAATCTACCCTTCAAACTGAGGTATCTACAGTTACTGAACAAAATAAGCTCTCTCCATCTAAATCTACCCTTCAAACTGAGGTATCTACAGTTACTGAACAAAATAAGCTCTCTCCATCTAAATCTACCCTTCAGACTGAGGTATCTACAGTTACTGAACAAAATAAGCTCTCTCCATCTAAATCTACCCTTCAGACTGAGGTATCTACAGTTACTGAACAAAATAAGCTCTCTCTCTCTAAATCTACCCTTCAGACTGAGGTAAAAGGCACTCAGCAGACTATCTCTACAGATGCTACTGTCCAACCAACTGTGGCACATTTATCAGCTGAGATTGTCAAACTCGAAGATGAAGAAACCTGTAAAGCTGATTATAAAGAATCTTTAAATTTCTGGAATAGTGTTAAAGAAATACAGAGAAGGAATAGATTAGGAGAATCATCTTCATCTAATCACAGTACAAAGATGTTGTCAGGCTCGTCCAAGTCATCGCCTACACCCTACAGGCATGTAGACCATGGCGAAGCAAACACACAGTCGAATTCTGAGTCAACAAAACGCAGTTTGGATGATAGCACAGACAAAAGCATCCGAGATTCGCTCATCCAGCAAGGCGGTGCATTTCAGGAGAAACATCACAAGAAACTCGTAAAAAAACATAGGACAAAAGCCGATAAAAACAGCAAGCATCGCCGCACTCGGAAAAGAGATGAAGTCAATCAAAAAAGTAAATCAAGGAAAAAACATAAAAGCAGATCATTCTTATTTTATACAACTTTGGAGAAGTCAGAAGGTGATAGCAGAGGTGATGACAAGTGTCAAATTAAGTTGAGTAAAATGTGCAAAACTGAATTGGATTTACCCGATGCAAGTTCAGAGGAGTCGGAAAGAACAGATGTACGAGATTCTGATACAAGTTCGAAGAAGTCGAAAAGAATAGATCCACAAGATTCTGATACAAGTTCGAAGAAGTCAAAAAGAACAGATACACAAGATTCTGATACAAGTTCGAAGAAGTCAAAAAGAACAGATCCACAAGATTCTGATACAAGTTCGAAGAAGTCAGAAAGAACAGATCTAAGAGATTCTGATGCAAGTTCGAAGTCAAAAAGGACAGATTCACAAAATTCTGATACAAGTTCGAAGAAATCGAAAAGAACAGATTCACAAGATTCTGGTACAAGTTCGAAGAAGCCGAAAAGAACAGATCCACAAGATTCTGGTACAAGTTCGAAGTCGAAAAGAACAGATCCACAAGATTCTGGTACAAGTTCGAAGCCGAAAAGAACAGATCCACAAGATTCTGGTACAAGTTCAGCACCAAGTTTGCTTCCCCCATTAGAAATCATTAAAACTGAGTCTGGCTCTAAAATGTGTAAAGTTCTTGATAGCCCCAAAAATGATAGTAAAAGCAATAAAACAATGCAGAATTGTCCTCTAAGACAGGAAACTTGCTTAGAAAAACCAACAGTACAACTTCACTCAAATATACCCAATCAGTGCAATAAGACTGTCCTAACTATGGAAAAACCAACAGTACAACTTCACTCAGATATACTCAATCAGTGCAATAAGACTGTCCTAACTATGGAAAAACCAACAGTACAACTTCACCCAGATATACTCAATCAGTGCAATAAGACTGTCCTAACTATGGAAAAACCAACAGTACAACTTCACCCAGATATACTCAATCAGTGCAATAAGACTGTCCTAACTATGGAAAAACCAACAGTACAACTTCACCCAGATATACCCAATCAGTGCAATAAAACTGTCCTAACTATGGAAAAACCAACAGTACAACTTCACCCAGATATACCCGATCAGTGCAATAAAACTGTCCTAACTATGGAAAAACCAACAGTACAACTTCACCCAGATATACCCAATCAGTGCAATAAAACTGTCCTAACTATGGATAAACCAACAGTACAACTTCACCCAGATATACCCAATCAGTGCAATAAGAATGTCCTAACTATGGATAAACCAACAGTACATCCTGAGACTAGTATCAACCATGAGAAATGCCTAAATACTAATGTGGCGGAGAGCATCAGTGAGGAAAGTAACTCGGTCATTCCTGTGGCTCTTTCTGATAACAATGCCTCAGAAGTCTCCAATAATGAACCAGCGAATGTGATACTTTCTCTTCGCCAGGGTACTGGACAAAAGAGGGAGTGGATACTAGAACACTACACCCGAGAATTTCTAGAAGAGTACGAGAGGGATCCCTATGAGTGCTTGTGCGAGTGTCTGAGGAAGTTTGAGTTGGAGCCCTGGGAGGACGCCACGCTCTCCAGATCTCACAACTGGGAGATCAACCTGAGGAGATTTATGGTGCTCGTAGGAGGAACGTGTGGCCCGGCCATGGATGTGCCAAAGGAGTTCATACTTCACAGTATGTTGGAGGAACCCAACTTAAGCATATTTCAGCTTAAAGCTTGGATGGAAAAATGATCATCATAAAGGTAGACAATTGCTATCAACTCGTGGAGTTCCTCTAAATTACGTGTTTGAAAAAAACTGATCCAAAATTGAATAGCACATACTGTGAAGGCTTTTCCACAAGCTATTTAATTTCACATGAGATTTTTCAATCACATTTATAACAAAATCACACTATATAGAGATCTACAGTGGAACCTCAAATATCAAACAGCTCCCAACTCAACCAATTATGTAAGTATATTTTTGTAAGTGCTTCTGGAAGTGTATTTTTGAGGGTCTGAAATGAACTACAGAATCTAATTTACATTACTCCTGATGGGAGGAGGCCTGGTCACAGAAGGAGGCCTGGTCACAGACCGGGCCGCGGGGGCGTTGACCCCCGAAACTCTCTCCAGGTAAACTCCAGGTAATGGGAATAAATTTGTTAGGTAACGGCACTCGAACAGCCGTATGGAATGAAGAAAGTTCGATATTTGAGGTTCCACTGTATGAGAGAGATGACTTTATAATGCATATGTTACAATTAAAAAACTACGGTGAACATTAATATATTTTTTCAGAAGGGTAAATTATTTTTTTTCAAAATATCGTAGTTTCCTTTACCTATGGTGTATGATGACTAAAAATGTGATAAATGAGACCCTTGTGCATCTTTACTGTGAGGATGTTTTGCCAGCCAGTGACTTATTCAGTCAAGTACGAAGATGTAAAGTAAAAGGACACAAGTGCAACTAATGTGACATTTATTGTGGCAACGTTTCGCTCTCCAGGAGCTTGATAAAGCTCCTGGAGAGCGAAACGTTGCCACAATAAATGTCACATTAGTTGCACTTGTGTCCTTTTACTTTACATATTGTCAGTAATTCTACCAACTTTATTACAAGTACGAAGATGGTGGAAGATGAGGAGGAGCTTGAGGTAATCAGTCCCCGGAGTCTGTGTGTTCGGTCCATCTTCCGCTGTTCTTCTCTACTGGAGCGTTGCAAAAATGCCTCATTCGTCAAATTTTAGATTTTCCAAACCATTTATGCAATAAAACTGAATTTAGGGATGCCCTTTGAAAGTGGCATGTTATGCCCAGATGGGTTTGACACATACGCAACAGTTGGTTATCTATTGTCAAAGTGTTTCATCTGTTATTTACGCTTCAGTTGTATACGAAGGCAACAGGTGTTGTAGACTGCAATACAGTGGTACCCCGAGTTTCATACAGCTCCCAACTCGAACAGTTATGTAAGTGTATTTATGTAAGTGCTTTTGTTAGTGCATTTTTGGGGGATCTGAAATGGACTGATCTAATTTACTTTATTCCTTATGGGAACAAATTCGTTCGATAACGGCACTCGAACAGCCTTCTGGAATGAATTATGGCCGAACTCAGGGTACCACTGTACTAATAACAATACATTTAAGTAAAGTGACATATGCAACCAATGCAACATTTTACTGTGGCAACGTTTCACTCTCCAGGAGCTTTGTCAAACCATAAACGCTTGACAAAGATCTCGGAGAGCGAAATGTTGCCAAAATAAAATGTCACATTAGTTGTATATGTGTCCTTTTTACCTGACATTGTAGATAGAAGTAGTAGATAGAAGTAGATAGAAGTAGTAGATAGAAGTAGATAGAAGTAGTAGAAAGGTAAAGGTAATGTGATTAGATCATCAACCTTGAAGTGAATTTGAGGCAGATTGATCAGTGATTGGTTTGTCAACCTTGAAGTGAATTTGAGGCTGATTGATCAGTGATTGGTTTGTCAACCTTGAAGTGAATTTGAGGCTGATTGATCAGTGATTGGTTTGTCAACCTTGAAGTGAATTTGAGGCTGATTGATCAGTGATTGGTTTGTCAGCCTTGAAGTGAATTTGAGGCTGATTGATCAGTGATTGGTCTGTCAGCCTTGAAGTGAATTTGAGGCTGATTGATCAGTGATTGGTCTGTCAGACTTGAAGTGAATTTGAGGCTGATTGATCAGTGATTGGTTTGTCAGCCTTGAAGTGAATTTGAGGCTGATTGATCAGTGATTGGTCTGTCAGCCTTGAAGTGAATTTGAGGCTGATTGATCAGTGATTGGTTTGTCAACCTTGAAGTGAATTTGAGGCTGATTGATCAGTGATTGGTTTGTCAGCCTTGAAGTGAATTTGAGGCTGATTGATCAGTGATTGGTCTGTCAGCCTTGAAGTGAATTTGAGGCTGATTGATCAGTGATTGGTCTGTCAGACTTGAAGTGAATTTGAGGCTGATTGATCAGTGATTGGTTTGTCAGCCTTGAAGTGAATTTGAGGCTGATTGATCAGTGATTGGTCTGTCAGCCTTGAAGTGAATTTGAGGCTGATTGATCAGTGATTGGTTTGTCAACCTTGAAGTGAATTTGAGGCTGATTGATCAGTGATTGGTTTGTCAGCCTTGAAGTGAATTTGAGGCTGATTGATCAGTGATTGGTTTGTCAGCCTTGAAGTGAATTTGAGGCTGATTGATCAGTGATTGGTTTGTCAGCCTTGAAGTGAATTTGAGGCTGATTGATCAGTGATTGGTTTGTCAGCCTTGAAGTGAATTTGAGGCTGATTGATCAGTGATTGGTTTGTCAGCCTTGAAGTGAATTTGAGGCTGATTGATCAGTGATTGGTTTGTCAGACTTGAAGTGAATTTGAGGCTGATTGATCAGTGATTGGTCTGTCAGACTTGAAGTGAATTTGAGGCTGATTGATCAGTGATTGGTTTGTCAGCCTTGAAGTGAATTTGAGGCTGATTGATCAGTGATTGGTTTGTCAGCCTTGAAGTGAATTTGAGGCTGATTGATCAGTGATTGGTCTGTCAGACTTGAAGTGAATTTGAGGCTGATTGATCAGTGATTGGTTTGTCAGCCTTGAAGTGAATTTGAGGCTGATTGATCAGTGATTGGTTTGTCAACCTTGAAGTGAATTTGAGGCAGATTGATCAGTGATTGGTTTGTCAACCTTGAAGTGAATTTGAGGCTGATTGATCAGTGATTGGTTTGTCAACCTTGAAGTGAATTTGAGGCAGATTGATCAGTGATTGGTTTGTCAACCTTGAAGTGAATTTGAGGCTGATTGATCAGTGATTGGTTTGTCAACCTTGAAGTGAATTTGAGGCTGATTGATCAGTGATTGGTTTGTCAGCCTTGAAGTGAATTTGAGGCAGATTGATCAGTGATTGGTTTGTCAACCTTGAAGTGAATTTGAGGCTGATTGATCAGTGATTGGTTTGTCAGCCTTGAAGTGAATTTGAGGCTGATTGATCAGTGATTGGTTTGTCAACCTTGAAGTGAATTTGAGGCTGATTGATCAGTGATTGGTTTGTCAGCCTTGAAGTGAATTTGAGGCTGATTGATCAGTGATTGGTTTGTCAACCTTGAAGTGAATTTGAGGCTGATTGATCAGTGATTGGTTTGTCAGCCTTGAAGTGAATTTGAGGCTGATTGATCAGTGATTGGTCTGTCAGACTTGAAGTGAATTTGAGGCTGATTGATCAGTGATTGGTTTGTCAGCTTTGAAGTGAATTTGAGGCTGATTGATCAGTGATTGGTCTGTCAGCCTTGAAGTGAATTTGAGGCTGATTGATCAGTGATTGGTTTGTCAGCCTTGAAGTGAATTTGAGGCTGATTGATCAGTGATTGGTTTGTCAGCCTTGAAGTGAATTTGAGGCTGATTGATCAGTGATTGGTCTGTCAACCTTGAAGTGAATTTGAGGCTGATTGATCAGTGATTGGTCCATCAGCCTTGAAGTGAATTTGAGGCTGATTGATCAGTGATTGGTCTCGTCAGCCTTGAAGTGAATTTGAGGCTGATTGATCAGTGATTGGTTGTCAACCTTGAAGTGAATTTGAGGCTGATTGATCAGTGATTGGTCTGTCAGCCTTGAAGTGAATTTGAGGCTGATTGATCAGTGATTGGTTTGTCAGCCTTGAAGTGAATTTGAGGCAGATTGATCAGTGATTGGTCCATCGGCCTTGAAGTGACTTTGAGGCAGATGGATCAGTGATTGGTTCGTCAGCCTTGAAGTGAATTCGAGGTGGATTGATCAGTAATTAGTCTGTTAGCCTTTAAATGAATTTGAGGTGAACTGATTACTTCATATGCCTCTCTGCCTCTGCTGTCTATTGTTTGCAACATATGTAATCAGCTGAAGAAGCCTGCAGATTAAGCACAATTTTTCAACAACGAGGATATGCAGCTGATACATACGTCTTTGTGTGCGAGGGGCTTGGACTTCCAGCAGGCATGTGTGAGCGTGTTTGATAGGAGTGAATGGAGACAAATGGTTTTTAATACTTGACGTGCTGTTGGAGTGTGAGCAAAGTAACATTTATGAAGGGGTTCAGGGAAACCGGCAGGCCGGACTTGAGTCCTAGAGATGGGAAGTACAGTGCCTGCACTCTGAAGGAGGGGTGTTAATGTTGCAGTTTAAAAACTGTAGTGTAAAGCACCCTTCTGGCAAGACAGTGATGGAGTGAATGATGGTGAAAGTTTTTCTTTTTCGGGCCACCCTGCCTTGGTGGGAATCGGCCAGTGTGATAATAAAAAAAAAAAAAAAACATACGTCTTATCTCCATGGGGAAGTGGAACAGAATTCTTCCTCCGTAAGCCACGCATGTTGTAAGAGGCAACTAAAATGCCAGGAGGAAGGGGCTAATGCCCCCTTCTCCTGTATACATTACTAAATTTAGAAATCGAAACTTTCATTTTTCTTTTTGGCCGCCCTGCCTCGGTGGAATACAGCCACTTTGCTGAAAAAACAAAAAACACACGTCTACCTCATCTACTTCATGGGTGTTGTATACCCGTACACGAGTGCACTCGTAACTCACAAAATCGTAATAACACTATAATTATAATCTGTTTTTACAAGTACACTTATAATATATACAGTAGTCCCACCATATCTGTGGGGAATACATTCCAGGACCTACCGTAGATATCCAAAACCACAGATAGTAGCAAACTCTATTGTCGTGTGGGTTCATCAGGAGATATTGGAGTGGAGTAAGGAATACACACATTGGATGTCTTGGAAGTGTATAATTAAGAAAGTCTTGAGGAGAAGCCCAGGAGCCTGCCGTCAAATCTAAGCCTACCGAGAGTAACTGAGGATGAACGCTGTGGCCTACAGCTCACAGCTAGCAAGGGAGCCAATCTATAAAGTAGCCAGAATTATCTAAGTATACTACACAGTAACTACTGACAATATATATCAGGCATTTCTCGTTTACATACATACCTGTAATAAAGTTTAATTAATAAATTATATTCAATAAGTGGAGAGTCACCACTTTTGATTTTCGTGTGCAAGTTCGGTACTAGTCCCTCTAGGATTTTCCAGGTGTATATAATCATGTATCTCTCCCTCCTGCGTTCCAGGGAATACAGGTTTAGGAACCTCAAGCGCTCCCAATAATTGAGGTGTTTTATCTCCGTTATGCGCGCCGTGAAAGTTCTCTGTACATTTTCTAGGTCGGCAATTTCACCTGCCTTGAAAGGTGCTGTTAGTGTGCAGCAATATTCCAGCCTAGATATAGATAGCCCCTTCCTACCTTGTTGAGTGTGATGATGGGCAGGGTATGTCAGGTGATCCTGGTTGATCCACGGTGCCCCGTGGCCTGGTGGCAAAAGCTTTCACTTCGCACAGTGAGGGTCCGGGTT